TTGGTTAAGTTTTGTACTAAGTGCAAAGGTTTGTGACCGTTTATGCAAATTACCTTTAAGTTTTGGGTGTTGAGCTCTCTTATCCGGTCTTTATCCGGTTTTTTACCTCAAATCTAAGCCCAAAAATTGGATTGGATTGTTTACTATTCGGTCCCGGTCCGGTCCCGGTCCGGGTTATACGGTCCGGTTTCTGGTTTTTCATCTGGTCCCGGTCCAAATAGCCAGCCCTACTTTTGACAAATAGCTATTGCATTGCCCTTTTATCTGACAAAAAGCTATAGCGGTGATTATAACTATTTTTGTGACAAGCTAAGCTAGCCATAAGCCATCGATGCTCAATAAGTCATCCCCAAAGCCAAAAGGCTATTTCCCATGCAAGCGCGCAAATCAAATCGTTCCATCGGCGGGGAAGAAAAGAATCGCTTTCATCCTCCCTTTCCAGCTTTCCTATATTCCTCGGCAAGAATAGAAAACGTCCGTTTCATACCGGCGACGTCCAAGTTCTAAAATTCCTTTTGCTGATCTTGTGCCCCCTAATTTTCAACGTAACTTTTTCGCCTCAACATTTTCTGCCGCCAAGTGTGCCGGACGGGGTTCTTCATCCTTGAAACATTCGCTTGTGATTTGTCAATACAAATCTTTCATCCATTAGTATATGGTATTAGATATGTTATTGAATATATCTCCTAATAACTCGAGTAATTGGAACTAACAGATTATTGAAAATCAATAACAAAATTAACATATACCATTTTGGAATTCAATATCAATCATGTACACCCCCACTTGTTATTATTTATTAGAATCAAGCCGATCAACTGGTCGAGCCATGTAGAACCGTCAACCGACTGCAATGATGGGTCATTTCATATGTTTGAAAGGTCAGTTGGGCGTGATACGTTGTTAGCGGTCGATGACCAAATCAATTAAGCCCGCTGATCTAAATGATTCTCTGGTCCAGTATTTTAATAAACAAAAACAAAAACAAATATAATGGTAGATTGAAATACGAAGAACCAATGTATACCATAATTAGTAATTTTTCCCCGACTTCCTTTTCGTTTCATTTGTCAGTTGCGCCTCATCTCCCTTGCATCTTTTTTCTCATTTCAGCATTCTTCATCTATCTCTAATTAGCTTATTGTGTATCAGCGGCGGATCCAGGGGAGGGCCACACTGGTCCCGGGCCCATCCCTCCCCCTGACATAGAATGTATATAGCTTGTAATTTCAGCTCCCTCACTAATTTGGGCTCAGCCTTTTCTTCCTAAATCCAAAACCTAAAACCAAAATCAAATTCCCAAAAGCCCTTTCTCATCTTCTCGTGAGGCCAAAAAATTAAAGGGAAAAGATCCATTCCTTCTCCGCAAACACTCCGCCCGCCCTTTTCCCCAATCCTCACTCTAGGTCTCGGCGAAATCGCCGTTGCGGCGCTGCACGGCCTCACGACCAGCAGCCCAGCCTTATTTTGCGTTTTAAGGCATTCTATTATTTGTTGGGATTAGGAAAGGGACTGGGGATCTGTTGGCGTTGGGTCATGGGTAGAGAATAAAGATTTTCAATTTTGTGCTTTGCATTATATATCTATATATATATATATATATATATATATATATATATATATATATATATATATGGATACGACTTGTATGCTCCAGACGCATAGTATACTCCAAAGTTTTGCACCATTGATCTGATCTAACGCTTGTTATTAAATCTGATTTAATTATTTATTTTTAATAAGCATTAGTACCCTTAAATAACTATATATACATTATAGTCCTTGAACAATTTTAATCATTAATTTTACTATTAAATACCTTATTTCGTACCTAAGTAGATTATTTAAGTACCCATATTTTCTTTAAGTTTGTCCATTGGATCTGTTTTCAATTATTCCCAAAAGCCAAAACACATCAGCACCTCCAATTCCATCTGGGTTTTTAATATGCAGAATTTCAGTCAAGTTCCTGCAAATCGAAGAAACATTAACACAAACATAAGTGGAATTGAATTGAATCTCAAGCTCTTGCGAACAAACTTCTTCCCTCGTTCAAATCAAATAAACAACAACACAATACTAAACGAACTGAAAAGAACCCTAATCCCTATTTTAAACATGCATTGAATTCCATCTTGGTCGAATCAAACCCATATACCCTAAACCCAGATATCGTCGTTCGAACGCAACCATCGACAACAACAATGGCGGCACCACCTCCTGCCCCCTGTTTCTTCTCGATTCAGGCGCGACGACTATGCTTCTTCCGAACAATCTTCCCTTTTCCTCCACTGAATCATCGGTGAGGCCTTGTTATCAGTCAAAACCCAAAAATCCCAAATGGACAGCTCGAAAAGAGGAATCGATTGATTGACGGATCTCCTCAATTCATTGCCAAAACCCAGAAATCCCATACAGATAAACCCGAAAGCGCACTAGTGTTTCTCCCAAACGATGGTGCCGCGCAGGTGGAGACCAACCATCGTATCTCATAAGCATAAATCCGGAAAATATTCCCACCGACGGACTCCAAAGTCATGGATCTAATGCAAAACAACGAAATCATCATCAGTGGTGCCGTGGTGGCAGAATTGGCTACCAATTTAATTTCTCCATCTGCATATTTCCTATCGCCATCGCCATTGATTTCATCTTCAGACTTTTTGACCATAAAGTTTCGTCGCCAACACGGCCCTTCCTCCAGCTCTCGAGTACGCAAAGTTCACTTCCTTAATCCACGAGCTGAAAGATACACTAATAAATTCATCTCTTAATTTGCCAGCACACTTTCAGCGTCGGAGAGAGCGGCTGCATGTGGGAAAAATTGAATTATAGTCGATGGGCAACGACTAGGCAAATTTGATGATGTTAAGGGGGAGAGGAAAGCGGCGATCGTCAATTTGACGAGTGAAATGTTATCGGGTTGGATAAATAATGTGGAAAGAAACAACAACAAAAAAGGTAAAAGAGGAGTAATGTCACCCAAGATCATGTAATTTTTGGGTGTTTAATTCATGATTAGAAGAAATTAGGTATGATATTATAAAGAGATGCGAAAAAATTATTTATGGGGACTAAAGAGCACGTCTATAAATGTAAGTGACCCAATTAGTCATCTTTAAATTGAAATTAATAAATCAGTTAATTATTATTATTAATAGTCGTTATATTAGATCAACGGTTTAAAAAACTTGGAGCATACCATGCGCCTGGAGCATACGAGTCTGACCCATATATATATATATAAATTCTGTTTGTTGTTTAGTTTAACTGCATTAACCTATTGCTTTGTGAGAAAGAACTGCATTAGTTTAGTTTAACTGCATTAACCTATTGCTTTGTGAGAAAGAACTGCAAAACTCCCCCAACTCCAAACCGAAGAGGAGCGGACCAACTTTCCTTTTACATTAGTTTAGTTATCACCTTTTTTGTCATTTTGTTTTTCCCAACCGTCGTGGAAAGCAAGTCACAAGAAAGGGTGGAGAATCGTCACGGGAACAAGACACGTGGCCAGCGTGGGCTGAGGGATGCGACTTTTTCCATTTGTGTCCACCGCGTTTGTCCAGGTGGAAACACACGCTTTGTCTTTTACCGCATCATCGTAACTCAAAACCGCCGCGTGGTCGTCTAATTTCGAGGACGGCACTCCGGCCTCGCCGCCGTACATCGGCGACGATGTTGGGCGGTGTTTGTTGATTTTGCAATTTCAAACGTGTGAAAACATCCACGTTCACCAAAAAATAATAAGGAAATTCAACTTATTAGTAACTTGAATCGTACGTGCCGGAGTTGAATCTAACAAATTGATTCAGTTCCTCTTATTTGACTGGTTTTAAAACCTCCAAAAACCAAAGTTCATAAATTAATGTGCATGGAAACCATGCATAAGAGTCTTGTAGTAGTCTATTATTGTCACATTATAGCACCCGCCGCAAAATTGGTGCACCCCGAAGGTCATAATTACGATGCTAATATGACAGGTGACGTTAATATATTCATATTGGGTCAATGTGGATTATGGAATTGTTAGTGCTAAGTTTCAGGTCTAGGAGTCCTTAAAGATATTGTCGACCACAGGGAGGATAGTATAATGTGTTGTTGGGTAAGTGGGTTGTGTCGAAGTATCGTTTTCTGGCTTGGTTGATTATTATGAATCAAATCACAATATATGAGACTAGATTTTTGAATGACGGTATGTTGATTCGGATAAATTTATGCGCTTTGTAAATTTCAATTCGAATTTCACTACTAAATTAATTATGGACCTTAAAACTATCCACTATCACCTACAAGAGCTTGACACTAATCCGGTTAGTGTTGACGGGTTTGGTATCGGTTAAATGAAACTAAAAAAACATGAAAAATAAACGACACAAAATGACTATTTGCTTGTAGTGTGTTACTACCACTAATATTCAACATGGAAGTCTTAACTATAATAAAATAGTGCTCATTTGCAATTCACTTAATTCCTTATTCAAACCACTCTCAAGTAAGTTGAGACTTGAGCCGACAAATTTTCAACCGTGTATGACAAATGAAATAGCTAGAATAGAATACTGAAGCAGGAGTTGGTAACTAAATAAGTCGTCTACTTTTACCGACGGGACGGTTTCATGTTTGCCGCCGTTCCGATCCAACAACCCTGGCCGGAAAGAGAGTGGAAAAAGTGCAAAAGCAGAGACGTAGCGCGCGTTTAGACTTTTTTTCCCCATTAGCTAGCAAAAACGCCGAGTCGGTCAAAATACGAATCTAAATCTCGAATAGTGGGTTCCACTTCAGCAATCGCACCGCCCTCTTCCCCTCTCTTCGTCCCCACTAATCCCTTTCCCCTATATATAATAGCGCTCCTCCTTTCAGCAAACCATCGTCATCATCACCATTCATCACCACCTTCACATCATTAGTCACCAACCAAGCTTTCAGCGACGAAGGATCAAACCCAATAACCCATTGCAGAAGAAGAAGCTTTCTCCATCCCAAAAAGAGAAGAAGGAAGAATGTCGATGGCGAGGAGATCAAGATCGAGTAGCTGTACCCTCTTCTTCATCGTGGTTGTTCTGCTGGTGACGGTGTTTTCGACACATGTCAACGCCGGCAGAGCACTCCGGTCAGATGCTCTGCCCATCGCCGGATGCGACCAAGCGGACGGCGGGCAAGCCGGCGCCGGTATAGCTTCATTCGTCGCCTCTTCGAATAATTCTAGCGGCAGCGGCGGCAATGGCGACAACTTTTCAGTTTCGTTGCGGGGGTTGATGTTTAGGCTGGCTTCTGGGCCTAGCAAAAGAGGCCCCGGCCATTGATGGGCAGAGTTTTTCCGGCCGGCGTCTTTCCTAGCATCCATAAATTGTACTGGGATGCTTTTATTGTTGTTTATTTGTTTTTTTTTTTCTTTTCTGAATTATGGAGGGTTTATTATGTATATCAGTATATGTATACACACTTACATCACATGTAGCTTTACAAACAGCGTTGTAGCGACAGATCAGCAATGGAAGTCTTAGTTTTTTCAATTGATCTGGGCATGCAGCTGGCTGTTCCTCCCTCCGCGTTTCTTAGTTGGCACACCTTTTCGCAACAAAATTGACCGAAGGTTTTATATGAAACAGTTAGTCCTAATAGCTCGAGTTGTTGGGTGAGATTTATCTATCGTATTTAACCATTGTTATAATAATTAACAACCGATTCGGATCAATGGTTGGGCCGTTAGAACCAATGAACTAGTTACAATAGTTGAAATGTTCATTTGATTTGACAGTTAGGGACAATGTCGAATCAGGTCACCCCTGGCCTTGAAAGAATGCCACTAGCTTTCCCAAAATAAGAGGAGATCTGCTGCTTACTGCTCATGAAAACATTCGACGTATACTTATAGTCAAGTCGAGTGCCTGGCCCCAAAAAGCGCCTACTCCTATTAAAATGAAGAGCTTTCCTTTACTAAACAAGGAATATAAAAGTTCTATTATCTATTCTATTAGTGGTTTACTAGTCCAACCATTGATCCGGTTAGGAATGAACCAAACTATTTTTAACGGTTTTAGATGAAACCATATGGACCACTCAAACTTTACTGGTCCACTGGTTCGCTATAACCACAAAAAATTAAGGAAATTTTTTTAACGTAAACTAAGACCATCCAACCTCAATCACTAATTTTATTTATGCTTCATTTTCGTCATTTTCCAATCTCCTAGTCGGCTTTCATGGTCCATGATGGATTGCCACTTTCATTAATGAATTAAATTTTAATAAAAAATTATGATTTATTTTGTGTGATAGTTTAGATGCCTTGTTAGAATTTTTTGATGATATATGATACGAATTTAAAATTGTTTGTGGTTAGTGATAAATTCACTCCTAAATTAGTTATATGTATTATAAGTTATAGGGCATGAACAATTCTATTCTATCAACAGTTAACCGTTGAACCATCAATCACTGACCTTCTGGTTCAACATTCGACCTGGTTTTGAAAACATTGTATTTAATCACTTCCTTACACGCCTTCTCAAAAGAAAGCCAACTCATTGGCTTTAAGTTTGCACAGAACCGCCATACCATTTACTTTAAAGACAATGATTAATATCAAAGTAATGTGAACTTGAACACGTGACCTCAGAGGAAAAACAACTCTGGTACCATTGGGTTTCAACCTAAGGGTCTTAGGTTCAAATCGATCAACTAGTCCCCATTGGGAAGTACATGGTGTTTGATGCATATGCAATCTTCAAACTGTGGCTTTCGTTTGATGGGACGTGTTAGTATATGGTACAAGATCTGTTATTGAACCTCTCTCAACAACTCGAGTTATTGCGATCAACTGGTATTTTACAAGGTATCGGAGCCTTCTATGACCGAGAGGTCACATGTCGATGACCCACATTTTTCTGTTAAGGGTATATTAGTACATGATAAATAATCAATAAGGTATATTTTCTATGGAAAGCAACTATTTAAGAACATTATCCTCAAATATATCATCCTAAAGAAGGGAGCGGATCATGTCAGTAATCTTATGGTGAGTAACCATGAGTAACCCGTCCATATCAGTATGACATCAACATCCCTCTCTCTCGTGAAAAACCCTATTTTCCCTTTAATATTTAACGGACGATTTTTCTCTCGTTTTAAGTCAAATTTTAAAATTTTGTGAACAGATAAATAAAATTAATTGTGCTCTTTAAAATGATCCACTTTGATATATTTTTAGAACAAAAAAAATTGAGTAATTTTTCACGAGTCAATACCATATGGTATGCTCCTATTTAATACCATATGGTAAGAAAGCTTACCATGATTGTATAAACATACCAATATGGTAGGAACTAGGAAGGTTGAATACATGATAGTAGGAGTATACTAACTGTCATTTACGACTTTCATCATTGTTTCCTACAAGTTACCATCCACATACCATAGTGGTAAAGTATGGTAACTTTTGATCATGTATTTTTTTCATACAGAAATTTGTAGATCCAATAGATCATGATGAACTCGTTCCTTCTGAGCAAACGTTTTCAAAATTGACTTAAAAACGAAGAAGTTACAATATGGTATGTAGTTGGTAACGAGAGACATGGAAAAAAGTTTCTCGAAATGTATTGAAAATTGATCTCATTTTGTAGAGCACAACGAATTCTTTCCATCTGTGCAAAAAAAAAAAAAAAATTGAAATCTGAGTTAGAACGAAGAAGATAAGAGCCGATTAAGAAAACTAGGGAAAATAAAATGTCTTTAATTCACAACCCTTAAGATCTGAATTTTCTGGGTCCACTTAAATATAAATGTTCAAATTTAGTTACTCATATGTCAGAACTTATGTTCATTAACCGTATCCCAAGCCCCCTAAAGAAACATCATACATGACCAATAGTCCGTTAGTCACAATGAGATTGGATCGGATTCATACTTGGCTCGGCCCAACTTATATACACATGTAGCTGCTTGCTGTTTAAAAATTTGTGAATGAGAATTCGGTTAGCAATGATATATGATTGATCATTGAACAATTCATAATAATTTGTGTAATTGAAAATATATTGATTGTTGATATAATATTAGAGCTATTTACGTGAGGTCTTTTATTCGAATTTCATAAATATCTTCTTTCAATTACATACTATTCGAGCATATGCAAACTTGAAAATTTGACTTTTTTAACTTGCGCCATAAAGGCAGAACTCAGGGACAATAGTCAATAAGCAATTTTCTACGCTCCCTTGTTGTAATGTAGCTAGTGAGAACTGAAATGATCCATTGGAGGAAGTACTATCAAAGTAGGCAAGGTAAGCAGACATGGAGGTACACAATATAGAATATTTAGGGCACCTAACAGAAGAGATATTCAACGGCTGACTCACACGTTCCATTGGCTTGTCTCTCAGATTCAACGGGAAGCGTTCCATTCAAACAAGTGGCATGTGTATGTAAGTTAGTTTACCGGTCAGACCAGCGCCTACAGTACTATAAATTAAATTTGGTCTGGTCAATGACATGTTGCAGCTGCAGAAAGTAAGAATACGATGAATGGATGGTTGGTGTCGGGAGTGAAGTTTACGCTTAGCTTGCCTGGAAACTGCGGCAGCACTACTGTTGTTTCTTATTAATTAAGACCGCATTACGGAACCGTAAGGATCATTAAGAAAACCGTCTAAACTGAATGATACCACGACTCGAAAAGTCAAAACAATCCCAATTGTCATTTGTCAAGAATGTCCCAATGTGAGGGTACCAGTTATTTCGGTATATATACAAGGGGTTGGCAATGGGTGGTCCGCGGACCACACCGGACCGAATCACTGTTTAGACCGCATTACACCGAATTGAATATAATAAGGTCCAATCCTTGGTCCAAAGAATTTTATAATTACTGAAAAAAATTGTACTGAATTGATATTTGGACCGGACCAAAGAGGACCAAAGCAGACCGAATGCACTATTGGTCCGGTTCTTGATCCTAAAATATCATACACTATAAGACCGCGATTATCATGTGTTTGGTCCGATTCGGTCCGGACCGGACCGATGTCAATCACAAGACATCCTTTCCTTGCTTTTTTTCCGCTGAGGAAAATACAAAATAGGTCACATCCTTGCTCCCTGTCATTCTGTCGTCAGTCAATGCCGCCTTGGAATGTCTACAATTAATTAAGGACTAATAGTGGTAGCTAATACATATTATCAATGATTAATTAAACTAGTTTTTTTTCCCACGCTCCGGCGCGGTAAGATTAGAGTGGCGATAAGAAATTAATGATTTAGTATAAATCAAATAATTCACAAAATTATTCAGATAAGATATATATGTAAGTTTCACTTGATGTCTTAATCATTAATAATAATTTACGTAACCCGTTTGTTTAAGTGGTATTCAGTAAATAACTATTTTCCACATAAATTTTACGCAAGTTTTTAATCATTAAGGAAAACTCACGTAACAGTCATAGTCATAGATAGTTATTACATAAAATTTTCATAATGTGTGGTCTAATAATAAAATCAAGTTATAGTAAGTAACATTGTTGAATTTTAAATCTATGTAACTGTTATAAAATGTTGCTACATAAATATTTCATAATGTGTGGTCTAATAGTAAAATATAATTTTAGAAAGTAAGACGAAAGTAACATATGATTAAATTGTTATGTCAAAATTAACTAATCAAGAGCTCATGGTAAAATTGGATGTAGGAGATAAGGAACTAATATAGAATATTATTACATAAATCTTAATGTGTGGTCTAATGATAAAATCAAATTTTAGAAAGTAACGTATGATTAGACCTGTTAAATATTTGGGTATGCCTATGGTGACATGCATGTCACCGTAACTTGCATTTTTAGTTCGGCCTTATATAGGATTAGGTCGTCCTAATATGCCTTTTCAGTTTTGTGAGGTTCAACGACGCGGTTGACCTTTTATAGCAAATGGTCGACCTCTTGGGAAGCGCATGGATGGTATGTACGACTACATGGGCCAGATTTCCACCTAGATGACTAGCATGTACGACTACATGGGGCATATGACCACCCATGAGCACACTGCAGGTGACCGTGAATGAGATGCGAGATGAGTTTCGATCATTCAGTGGAAGATACACGCATGTCACCGTAAATTCCGACTACCATAATGCTAGCAACACCAATGAAGAAAATGTGGATGAGGGAGAGATGGGACAGGAGTAGGAACTCGATCGAAGATTTTAGATTGTGTGTTTTATTGTCAAGTGTTAAAAACGATTGTGGATTGATATTATGTGGTTTTAGATTTTAGTTATGTGTGAACAATTATGATTTGTGTTTTA